TCTTGAACTATTTTATAAATCATATTTTTTGTTTTTTGCTACAATTATGTCGAAATTTATAGTTATTAAACAGTAAATATTTAAAAAATTAAAACACTAAAAATCAAATGAATTATAAGATATCAACAAATTATTATTACATTTTAGAGGTTGTATTTTTTTGTATAACAAATCATCACGTAAATAACACTTTTCAAAAGTAATTAAACAAGTGATTTAAGAGCATCAATAATTTCGTTTATCTTCGTTCTTTTATCGGGTTCTGCACACCACGCCTTCTGAATAATATCAAATTCTTCAGACGATATATTATCATCCTTTTCAAATCTATTTCCATTTGACACAAAATCTGCGATACACCACGCAAATTTAAATTTGTCTTTTGAGTAAGCTGCCCTCCATTCGAATGTTTCATACATAGTTATAGCAAACGAGTATATATCAGAAGGCATTTGGTATCTTTCTTTTTTCAAAATTTCAGGCGCCATATAAGCTGGTGTTCCAATACCTTTAGTGAATGTCATGTTTGTCATCAATTGATTTAAATTTCTCGAAGATCCAAAATCAGTCAATTTTGCTAGGATTGTTTCTTCTAAATCGTAACTAAAAATCAGTAAATTTGCCGGCTTAACATCTCTGTGTAAAATGCCGTTGTTGTGCAAATAAAAAATGCCATTTGCCATATCCAAAATAAATCTATGCCTAACCTTTTTATTTGGTTTTAAATTTGGGTCATTTTCGGTCTTTTTAATTAAATCGTTCAAACTTTTATATTTCGCAAATTCGGTGACCAAACAGATTTTTTTAGGAGTAAAAACAGCGCCATAAAAATAGACAATATATTCGCATCTAAATTTGTCAAGCATTGCTACTTCATTGGCAAATTCTTTTGTTGAACTTTTATCAGTACACCCGTTTTTGAGTCGTTTGATTGCAACAACACTCCCTCTAAAAATGCCTTTATAAACAACTCCAAAACTCCCCTCCCCAAGTTTCTCATTTTCTGTTAGATCCGAATTATTTAATTTCGTTGTCAAAATAGTTTTTGCTTTAATTTTTATTTTGTTAGTTGTTTGCTCACCTTTTTTAATATCGAGCGAAATGCATAATATTTCATCGTCAATTTCACATGTACACGTGGGGTTCAAAAATATCTCAAATTCACATGCTTCATTTTTCTTTAATGTGACGAGTGGAGGAACTGTTCTGATATTATACAATTCACAATTTGCAATCACACTTAATTGAATCTTTAAATTATTTTTTGAAATATTGCCAATACACAAAAGTTCACGGGTCTCCTCTGACACCGGTATTTCAGTTGTTTCTCTATTATCATTCGAATCGTTTTCAAATATCAGTTCTGGTAAATTGACAACCAATTTTTTAGACAATTTGGAGAAATTTATGTTAGATTTTTTCATATTAAATACACACACTTTCTTCCTTTCTTCATTTTTCTTGTGTTTCAATTTAGTCAAATATACAATCAATATGCTTGTGATGATTATTGCAAACACAATAAAAATTAATGCAACTGTGACGGAGATAATCAATATGTAATTTGGTTGATCGACACAAGAAAGACCATCATCTGATGGTATTCTATTCCCCTCACATTTGTCACACAAATTGTTTTTCTCAGAAACACAATATTGTACGACAGCGAGTGGGTTGCAGACTTCGTTTATCAATATGAAATTTGATTCACAAAGTGAACAATATTCTTCGGATATACACAGTGCACAATTTGAAGAACATTTTATACAACGGGGAATTACTGTACCCAAATAATACCCACCAGCACATAACAAACATCCACTTTTACTTTTCTTCACACAATTTGTCAAATTGTCGTAATTTAAACACAAAGGTGACTCTCCTGCAATTTGAAAGTAATTGTCTGCACACGACAAACACTTTGTTACTTCTTGGCAAGTCTCACAAGAAATATCACATGCAACACAATCCTGTCCATCTTTGAAATATTTATCTTTGCAACTGACACAGCCGGTGTTTGACGGCATCATTACTTGACATCTTTTAGAAAGCTCGCTTGATAATTCACATTTGTTGTTTGAGTTCAAAAAATATGTATTTTTGTTGCAAGAAATACAATAAGTTTCGTTTTTACACGTCAAACAATTGAATTGGGAATTTTCACAAGAAACACACTCGTTTTTAACAGATAAATAATACCCATCTATACACTTCAGACACCCCTTTGATGATGACACTTCGCATGTGTTGTTGTCATTTGATATTTTTAAATTCACGTTTACACTTTGAGGAAAAGAACAAGTGTTGTTAAACAGTGTGTATTTTTCGTTGCATTCTAAAACTATTTCTGGGCCATTTTGAATAGAAGTGGCGTATTTTATTTGTTTGTCTTCTTTTGAAGTACAATAAGTCAAGTTGTTCGATTGTATTGTCAATTCTCGATAATAATACATATAACAGTTTGTACATAGAATCCCGTTTGATTTTTCACAATGAAAATATTCAATTTCTCTGCAAATTCCATCTGTAACCAAAAATTTTTCTTTGCACTGCAAACAATTATTTTGTAAATATTTTACGCAATTATCAATTTCTTTTAAAACGCAACGGTTTTCGTGAATGTAATAATGTGATGTATTATCACATTTAACACAATCATTAGTCATTGTAGTTACACACTTTTCATCAACAAAACAAGTCGTTTCGTTTTGATCATAAAGTCTGCTTTCTTCACATTGAATTGCTTTTAGAATTGACACCCCTTTATCACTTACCAAACGACATTTATTTATCATATGTTCGGAGTTTTCTAAACATGGCTTACACATATTTTCATTGTTAAGATAATTATATACATCACAAATATAAACCATGTTATTTCGTAAAAATATGTTAGGATTGTCGATTATTGAAGACAAACAGTTGTTTTCAGTTGTAAGTGTATAATTGTCTTCACAACTTAAACAATTGGATATGTTATAAATCCTGTTTTGAATATAATATTTACATTTTTCTTGTCGATTTCCACATTTTTGCGTAATTGAAATGCCATTTGAACAATCTTCACATCCTAATTTGCCTTTATTTATACAATAAACATCGTCATTATTTGGAAT